CCATGCAGTGATTTAATTAATATGGTTTCTGTGTGATTATTTTGGGGCTAAACTAGCTGGATGGCAGGAAATCAACAAGCAACCCTTCCCCCAACAGTTCTTTTATGATATACCATCAGTATAGAGGACATATATGGATGTGAACAATTGAAGGGACTTCTAAGATATGCCAACATGTTCCCTGTTGGCCAAAGTGCTTCACCTTCATTTTTGTTCTTACAAACAGACTCCTTAGAATAACTTGTGGCAAAGCATAGTAGAATAAAATGTCTCTGTTGGACCAGTTTGTTCAGGGAATTCAGTGTCTCTTTCTACTAGGCAATTTCAGCTTGGGCAGTGAGGGGCAGTTCTTTGCATATTTATTTAAGCAATATATTTTTGCATACATATAATGTATGTGCATGTATGTGTGCATGTATGTTCTTGTATGTGTGCATGCATATGCATGCCCATGAATGAGGTCATTCTTGGGCATCATGGTACTGTACCTCAATCACTACTCACCTTTTTATTTTTATTTATTCATTTATTTATTTATTATGTATATAATAGTCTGTCTGTGTGTATGTCCAAAGGCCAGAAGAGGGCACCAGACCCCATTACAGATGGTTGTGAGCCACCATGTGGTTGCTGGGAATTGAACTCAGGACCTTTGGAAGAGCAGGCAATGCTCTTAACCTCTGAGCCATCTCTCGAGCCCCTCACCTTTTTATTTTTAATGTATTACCTATCTATTGTCTTCCTATCTGTCTATCATCTATCTATCTATCTATCTATCTATCTATCTATCTATCTATCTTCTATCATTTTTAGCAAGTAGGATAGGCTGGGTGACCAGTATACCCCAGGGATCTGCCTGTCTTTATGTACTCAGCACAGGGATTAGTACATGCCACAATGCCTGCCTCTTTTATACATATTCTCTAGCAACTGAAATTGGGCCATAAAACCTGCTATTAAATTTTGTATTGTGTTCATGTTTGAACATATATAGAAATTATCAGAAATGATATCCAATGATATCCACAAATACAATGATGTTTTCTCTTGGCTTTTATATGATTATGTTTTGTTTGTGTTTAGCTACATATTCTAATCTCAAGTATCATTTGAGCATTCTTTCTTAATATATTTATTAAATTACCTGTTATACAGTGATGTCAATCTGGGGCATTGCTCTGTGCTTTGTGTTCATGAAGAGCTAGACTCCTGTAAAAGACTCCTATTCTCTACGTCTAAGCTCAGGGAGGACTAAGCTGGAGACTGTGCCTCCAAGGGCCGCAACAAAGATGGATGCTTCCTCCCGTGCATAAAAGACGTGGTTACCATTCTGAGAATGAGAGGAAGTCCACCGAGAGGAGACATCCATGGGTTGGAAGGGCATGCAGTCATCTCAAAATACACCCCAAAGAATGGGTTTGATTGTGGGGGTCCTGGGAGTTGTTTTCTCAGGATGGTTATAGTGTCCACGCCTCGTGTGGGGCCAGTGCCTTTACTGGATCAGGAAGGCTCAGCACAGGACCTGGTCTACTGCGACATGTCCTTTTGTCCGTCCTCCCGACAGTAACTGATTTTGTTCTGTTAGCTCATGTAAGCTTTTGCCCTTTCTGGACTGACAACACAAAGGCAAATGCTATTTCTTTCACTTCTTACCTCATGGGAGGTTAGTAATGACAACTTACTGAAAAACTGAAAGAAAACAGGATATTCAAGTTAGCCTATATACCATTCATGAAGCTCAACCTAGCTTGCATCCCAAGAATAGCTGGACCAGTAAAGCAGATTTCCAACCACGGTGAGACTGGATATCAGCACATCTTATATATGTTCTGATGTTGCCTTCAGAGGGCCATGTTCAGTCATAGATTTATGTTCTGGTTATAAAACTAATCCCATTACTTCATATAACCCTTCATCCTTCCTCTGCCTTTTATGGGTGCTTCCTGTGGATGCTCATATAGAGATATCAATTAATTCAATGAAGAAGCTTTCATTATTGATATCCAGATGATTAATTATGTAAGTGAAATGTCTCCTGTAATTGAGGAAGAGCAGTCTATACAGGTGCGGCCCGACTTGGCAAATGGAAACAGCATCCCGAGGACAAACATTAGCAGGGTCTAATGTGACTTTGAGATAAACCTTGTCATAGTTCAAGTCTCTGCAGTGGCTTCTCAGCTTGGATCGGCCAGAGCGGTACTGACTCATCCCGGTCCTAAAACACAATGGGCTTGATGCTACAAACATTATCAGGATCTTAAGGAAAAGAATGATGCTCCCCCCCACCCCCACCCCGCTCCCTGCCACCAGACTTTTCAGACATGATACTAATGGATGAATTTGGGGGAAATTGAGTTGTATTCTTTTTGATCTTTGATCTCTATATCACCCTCGTTTTCCAGAACTAAAATCAGCTAAGACACAAGAAGCAGTCCTTTGAGTGATTGTGACGCTGGACTCTGTCTAACTCGGACCGTGTGATTCCCATCATGTATATAACTCTGCTGATAAACTATGCTTTATCAGAACTGTTTACTGTTACCATAAATATTTATCATGGCTCTACAAAAGGATTTCCATATATTTCCATTTTACTCTGTGGATGCCAGTGTTCCCGAGCCCCCAAACATCGATTGATGCGATTTCTCTTAGTCGTCACATTGTGTGCGGGAAGATGCTGCTTTCTCCATTTTAAACAGGAGGCATAGGGAACTTGGGCAAATTGCCCAAGGCTAAGTAGGTAATAAAGTAGGCCTTAAGCCGGGACCCACATCTGCCTCATCTCAGAAGCCGAATTCTCGATATTAAACTCAGTTTGAAGCCACATCCTGAAATAGCTCACTCTTTTTTAATTCTCTAAGCAGAACTTAAAGGTTATTTTATTTTATTTAGTGGCTTGATAAATCCTTGTCTGTCACTCACCTTCACCTCCTCTGAAAGGAGAGATCTGTTCCTACCCCATGCTATTCAATAGGCCAACAATAGTATCAGGCATTGGATAGAGACCTAGTAAATGCTTGTAGAATAAGTGAAAAACTTTAGCGAGCCTTGGCTCTTTAGATTCACATCACTGTTAGGCTAAGAGAAAGACTGACTTGCATAAATAAATGTCACCCAGCACGGAAAGTCCCCCAACATGATCAGGAGATGGGCCCGTGTTTGTGGGGGCTTCTGTGAGAATCTTATTTTCCCAGAGCGTTGTAAAGACAGGGGCGTGAGGATGGTGTGGAGGGTACAAAACGGCAGAAGACCCTAGAATGGTGACGGGAGTGAAGCCATTCTGTGTAGGTCATTGTGGAAAGGTCTGGAGGACATCCCGGAGGGCAAGATTCCCAACCACTAGGCAATGACCGGAAGGACAGTCTTCGTTACCTCCCGTGTTATCCTTCTTTTACCTCAGACTCCACCTTGGGTCTCTGAGAACTGTAAGTCAAGGAACCAAGATGGTTTGGTAGTGAGTTCTTTTCAGGTAAGGATTTCTTTGGAGATTTTCACAGCATAGAAGGGGGGGTTGTCATTTCTGACCCTCAGTAAATCCAGAATGTGTTGTAAATGTATACGGAAGGGGATCTTTAGGTATTCATTTAAAAACCATTTGAATTGCTGTTTATAGTAAGCAACCGTAATAGTTAATGTGTCTTTGATAGCAGTAGTAAAAATAAAGTCCCTTTTTCTGAACATGCACACACTTAGGACTAAGGTGATGGGTTGACAAATATATGGAAGAATTCAGTTCAAAGATGTGAAGTGTTTGGCTCAGGGCTCCCTAGTAGCACTGGGGGCCCAGGAGGAATTTAACAAAGTAGGGGAGGTGACTCCTACATTTACTTTCTGCAAGCTGTTCTGTATGTTGGACAGATGAGATCCCTTTTCTTTATTAGACTGGGCCATGTAAGCTCCATGCTTCAGCGGGCCTTCTGACAAAGTAGCGTGCAGGTTCAGTCAAGAGCAAACGAAGTGGATGCCGGGAGAAAGTGGGATGGTGTCGCGGGAAGAGCGGAAGAGGAAATTCCGAGTGTTTGCTTGGAGAAGAACATAAGGGTAGAGTTCTGGAGCGAATAAGAAAACTTGTTTCTGTCTTTATAGTTTAAGGACACAGCATTGTTCCTTCGCCCTAGAGAGGAGCAAGAATCAACGTGAGGGAAACTGCAGACAGCTGAGCTCTAACTCGGTGTGAGGAAGAATGGTCTAGAAAACTACAATAGCACAAGAATCAAATGGCAAAGAATGAGAGATGAGTTAGGAGAGGCCAGCAGATTCTGCTGGTACTGGACTGTGTGTTCCCAGGGATCGGGACCACATTTTAGTTGTATTGCCCTAGGAACCAAAATAGCACATTTAGGATTCATTTTGTAGGTTAGCACGGATGTGGGAAGAAAGATATAAGGGACTTCTCCCAATACTTAGGTTTATGATTGCTGATAAAATTTACATGTAATGATGCATTTATGATTGTTGATAAAAATTTACATGTAATGACGCATAAACTTACTACAAAATCAGTAATTTCATATACTTGTAACCAAAAGTCAGTGAAAGAGTTTCTTTGAATAGATATGCCGCCATGGGTGGTACATTTTTGTTCTCTTCTTTAGGGAGAACAAAGGGTTTATTTGCCACAGCTACTGACATACAAAGGAAACTAGGGCTACTTCCACCTCTGTGTATGCCGAACAAATGAACCTCTCCAGGCAGCTTGCCAGGGATATGTCGTCTGCAGGTGTCAAAAGAGTGATTTCATAGAGACACTTGAGTGACAGCTATGTCAATAAAGTCAAATTTTTCAAACTTATGACAATCTAGAAAATCACATTTTTCAAAGCCCCAAGTCTTACATAGATTGTCACCTTTATTATATGTTAACAAATGCCTTAAGTTTCACTTGAAACCCTTATTTTTTTAATAGAATATTTTATATCCAGTCCATTTTGATTTGATGTGTCTTTTGTTTTCTAACAAAGGGGATGCCATCTCCTCTAGTTCATGAAGAAGTCATTTGAAGAAGACAAAAAAAAAAAAAGCTTTATTTAAATCATCCGTAGGTGCTACAAGAACTACCCAAAGGTAAATGATAATAAAGAAATTATTTAATTTGGTTTTTCATCTTATTCGTTGAGAATTTTCACAGTTGACTTCCCCCAAACAGTGATTACTCATAAGTGTCTGCTCATATCTGACAGAGGTTGGCAACAGCCTCCGCCAAGCTCCTTAGATTCTCAGGGATTTTCTTACGTAAATATGCCCAAAACGTATTTCTCCATTGTCATGAAACATTGTTTTTCGGTTTTCAGTTTCAAACAACAGTGCTCTGTGGGCCCTAAGAGCATAAATGCTCAAGAGAGCACTTGTCTTTTGTGAGTCTACCTTCTTCTCATAGAAGATATAAACACAGCAAAAGGTTTCTTTTCTTCTATGAGACGTGTGTGTGTGTGTGTGCGTGTGTGTGTGTGTGCATGCGTGCATGTGTGAAATCGCAACTGTCCTAGAACTAGCTCTGTAGTCTAGTCTGGCCTCGAACTCACAGGGGTTTGCCTGCCCTTGCCTCCCAAGTGCTGGGATTAAAGTGTGTGTGTGTGTGTGTGTGTGTGTGTGTGTGTGTGTGTGTGTGCATGCGTGCATGTGTGAAATCGCAACTGTCCTAGAACTAGCTCTGTAGTCTAGTCTGGCCTCGAACTCACAGGGGTTTGCCTGCCCTTGCCTCCCAAGTGCTGGGATTAAAGCGTGCAGCAAGGCTCATCTAGGAAACTGAGATTTGGGCTCACACCTACTGAGGCAGTTACAATTTCTTCCTAGTTGCTACTTCTGCTCACAGAAGAAGAACAGGTTTGGCCACTGTTTATATACCTAAGGTATCCCTTACTCAGATCCCCGAGGGCAGGTGTATTTGACGGAGAGAGCTAGGCTGCCTCCCAATAAAGACAAGTATCTTCTTTGCATTCTATTTTGACTCATAAAACACTTTCCCTCCCTTCTCCACTTATTTAATTCATATGCCAGAGATTTTTCTTTTCTGAGAATGAAGGCAAAAGACAGGGAAGAAAGTAGATGAAGCAGAGAGGATCCCAGTATCTGACATATTTTATGCTTCCTTGATACAGCAACTAATTTTTTCTCTTTCCAATAACCATCATTTCCCTTGGTCTTGGAATCACTCAAAACCTAGCTCCAGAGTCCTGTGCACATGAATGTGCTGTCTGAAGCTGCACAGAGGATGAAAGCCTGCTGTCTGCACAGCCTGTGCCGGCTGGACAGGGGTCACAGCTACAAATTACTGCAAATTTAAGAATGCCTTTTTTGTTCTCATCACTGAGTATTTATTATATATAACAAATACATGGGAAAGAAAAAACTATATTGTGTGATTGATATAAATAGTTTATTTACATTACAGAAAAAACATCAAGACAATGTATACTATTTCAAATATATCCATACATAATCAAATATAGCTGTAGTACATGTTTTCATTGGTGTAGATTACCACAAACGCAAGGCAACATGTGTAGATCTCGTCTTATTCTTTTGTCTCTAATACTGTATTGTGTAGTCCAAGCTGTCAGTTGTCCGGCCACTGGGAAACATGCTCCCTCTAGATTAACCTTGTGGATGCTCTTGTTGTGTTGTCTGAACTGTAGTGCCCTGTATTTTGCTTCTGTCTGTGAATTCTGTTGCTTCGGGGGCATTTCCTAGAAGGTTGGAAAGTTTACAGATCTTAGTCTAATGCGATTACCTAAAGTTCGGTCCTACAGTCAAAGAGCGAGGCTGTGGAGGCAAAATAGTCAAGTATCTCAGCGTAAAAATATACTGATTACTAGTAGAACCTTGGAATACTTGTAAAAGTTATTATTATTGCATTCATTTTATTATTATTTGCTTCTCCTTGCCGTTGTCTTCAGGCTTCTGTTGAAAATTGAAGAACAGAAGAAGAGAAATACCCCGCCCTTCTCTGTTCATTCCTTCAGTATGTTCGTTATATTGTGCAATGGCCAGACTCAGCACAAGGCCAACAAGTAAGTGCCAAGCTTATCACATCTCTCTTTAAATGTCTTCAACAACTTTCTATCTAAATGTCTTAACGATGAGTGTTATATTGACATTTCAGCGCTATAAGGTAAGATGCTATCACATTGGAACAAAACAGCTGATAACACCCGATATGTAAATGCAAAGGAATATTGCTTTGGTTTAGCCTAATATCATTGTACTGCATTAATGCTATAAAACTCGAGACAAAAATTGGTACCAATTATGTTGCTTCTACAAAAAGCTAATATTCAGTAACATCTGAAACTCGCTGATCTAGTATTTTTTATTATAATAATAGACTTCTTTGATCATGCAAGCAAGAACAATATGAGACTAACAAAATTCTATTACAACTACAGGTGGTACAGTGGAAAATATGTATATAGACATACATACACGTGCACACACATACATAGTAGGTGTGGGCCCATTTTTGTGCAGTTGCTGGGACCATATATCTGTCAAAAACAAACATGGATCTGAGCAGTCACATTTTCGACAAGCGGGAGATGATAGTAAAAAAGATGACAGTCCACCTTCTCAACGGGACAAGTCTTTTCACTTGGGATCAGGTCTCTAGATATTCATATTTTTATGAGATATTGCTCAGGAGGCAGGTTCTTGAGTAGACAGAAAAAAAAAGAGAAACAGATTTGGGTGGAAGTGGGTAGGACAGGAGAGAAAGGAAAGGAAGTCAGAACAAAGAACAGACTGGATGAGATCAACATTAAGAGAAAATTGAGGACAATGGGGGCATCTAGGCTAGGGATAATGCTGTAAACTCTCCAGCATCTGGGCACTTTGGTAGAGGTCAGCGGGCAAACAGGCTTTCTTGGGGTCAGTGGTGGGTCCACTTAGGGTGTCTGGTTTGTAAGCACACTGCCTTTTAATGAATGGGATGAGTCTACCCTGGACAGTGCTGTGACATATGGATTCAAACTTTTCCTGGAGTGTGTTTCAAAGGTTTGATTGTACAAGGGGGAGGGTTAGATAATGTATGACAACAATGAAGGCATGGCTGATGTGCTATTTCTCTTCCCCTAAATCAGATAGTGATGGGGAACTTCAGCCAATCACATTCTGTTTAGGGTGTGTCCCCCTGAGGCCACAGAAAAATAGATAAAACGTCCAGGTGTGCTTGCCTCTGCCCTTTTGTTCCCTGCGCTCCTGGATGGCTGGAACCCTGGGTTTTGTAGGTTCTCTTTCTTCCATTTATTAAAAGCTGAATCTATTATATTAAACTGGTCTGGTTAATTCTAAATACCGATCGACCATGCCCCTTCAATTGGCGCCCAACGTGGGGCTTTTTGAGTATGGGTTTTTTTTTTTTTTTTTTTTTTGTTGTTGCTTAGTTTTGCATGGAAAATAAGAGAAAAAAAGACATATTCATTGAAAATATAGCAGACATAGCTTACTCAAACTGGGAGCTTAGTCCATGACAGAAGCACACACAAAACTATGAGCAGCTAGGAGCAGAGAGGCAACATTAAGTGCAAAGTTAAAGCAGTAGACAGGCTGGACAGCATTTTGAGTTCGTGACTCAGCTGTGTAATCTCAGTATGTGATAACATCTCACGTTGCAGGGTCTCTGCCGTGAAAGTGAGGATAACTGTTGTTTTGTTTTGTTTGTAATGTCGTAAAGTGTGTATACATGTGCATTTGTGCAATCAGACATGTGAATAAACATATGACAAAATTATAGCATCTAAATACAAAATCCTGGCAAAATAGTCTATATATTCCATTAAACTTAGGAATGAAAACTGATTAATAGCTTATTTTGAAGATGTTTGAAGTATTGAAATTCTGAGTTTCTCCACTTTACGAGACAGCAATCAAGTTGTTATTGTGTGAATATTTATACAAGTTTTGTTTTTCTATGTGCCCTTAGGGATGTCTGATACAGTTTTCGGTGTCTCAGATTCTTTTTTGTCTTTTCATTTTGTGCTCAGGACTTTTGGTTTTCAAGTTGTTTTTAAGTCAACTGCACATATTTTCGTATAACCCACTGGCTCACTTGGCATCTAAATCTGAGAGTCAAGATGATGGACTCAACTTGGCTTAGGGTTGCCCCAAGCTCCAGTGATGATCTCCCCTTATGCCTGTAGGCTGGGTGAGAATTTGTGAGCTACACTTTCTCTTTTTAAAGAGCAGATCCCACACTTGTCTTCAAAGAAGGTAGCATCATACAGATGCCAAGGTACATTACAGTCTTTATGTTTTAATTTCATAACGCTTCTTATTTTCCCATTTTTGGGGAAAGTCTCTGATTTACTATAGAACTGAAGAAATGGATGAAAGTCTTCCTGTCTTATAGATGTGATAAAAAACCCCAAAGAGTTACTTTGGACGTTTTAAAAAAGAGAGTAAATTCAGTTTTTTATTTATCTTTTAACAGATCTACACTGGCCTTTTGGCTGCCACGAAACATAAATGATGCATTGGGTTTAGAGTCTAGTTCTTGCCAACCCCACGTTTACACACTCAAGAGGTCAAACAAATCCCCAACTTTGCTCTTTATCTCAAACTGAACCTCAGCCATCACCCGGGAATCATGGCTCAATTCCAGTTGAAACTGGATGAAATCTCTGTTCTCTTGTGATCTCATCCCTGTTCAAATAAAAATTACCTTTTTTTCTGGGCTTGGAATTTGCTATTAAGTTATGATATTTGCCACTCTTTTGAAAATATTTCGAAGGTTTTCATTTAGTAGAACACAATCTTTCCCGTTGCGTTGAAATCACTGCGATTAGCACTTACCATGTTAAAATGAAAAGGTGTTTGTTGTTGACACCAGGTGTGTTAACACTGATGGTGTCCAAATGTTCTACTTGGAAATAAAATGTTATTAATGAGGACTAGAATTGAAGCATTTCTACACCTTATATAACAGCTATTATCACTTTGGGCAGAGCAATTCTGGTAGGTAAAGTTAGTGCTTCATAATTTGAACGAAAAGTGGCCTTTTACAGAGAAAAGAGTGTTTTAAAAGATGTTGTTATTCTCTGTTAGAGAGGAAAATAGTCTTAGGACAAAAACAATACTCATCTTAATATAAAAATGAGTGAAATAAGTTGTGCCTGTCCTGTAGGAAAACCCAGGCCTTTCCACGTGGCTGTTGAAATGTTCTCACGGGGAGGAGCTAGGACTCACGGAGAATGGATGGCTACAGTCAGTCCACCAAGAGACTCGGAGTCAACAGGAGGGACAAGCGCTGCCCTCAGCTTGGGTGATGCCCAAGCATGGTTACTGACCTTGTGATACAGAGGACCACCACGCAGATGACAGCGATCTGAACCGTTCCAATCACCGCTGCAATCAAGACGTACTGAAATCGGACCGGGCCGGGCACGACATAGAGAACGCTGTAGTCCTTTTTCTCACAGTGCTGACCAGTGTAGCCAGCATCACATCTGGAAGGAAGGACAGCATCTGGTCACCTGTGGCCCAGAACTCTGTACTCTTAATTTGTTCCGTTAACCTTGGTTAACATGGATATGGATTGCTTAATGACACAGTGCAAAAACTATACAGCTGTTTCTTTTAGAACTGTTCTACGCCAGAAAAATGCTGAAAAAAATCTCGAGTCAGAGATACACCAGGAGTAATTTCTTAAACTGGATGGCCATAAAGTCATAAAGGTCTTTGTTTTGAACAGAGGAATGTTCTTGAAATTTTCTTCAAATGTTCTGAAGAGAAAAGTCTTGGTGCAGGCAATACAGGTATACAAACAAGCAGTGTGAGCATCCTATTAGACTAGATCTTGCTTCTCACTCACTCAGCCTCCCAACCAGAAGTTCAGATAGGCAATTTTCATGTTGAAATAAGCATTTGATCAAAATACACTAATTTGGATCAATATGTCGTTGCTCTGTGGAAAGCCTTTCGCACTTGACTCTGAATTTCTTGCAACTACATCCTGAGGACTTTTCCACGGGTCTCTGGAGGGTGTAATTTAATAACTGCTAGAGAGAGAGGGACTGCAGAGCTCTCTGTGTGTCATGTTCACTCTGTCTGTTGAAGAACAGGCATGTCCCAGGGTATTCTGGGAAAGGAAACAGGTATGGAAGGCAGCTGTGGGTGAAAGACAGGCAGACGGACAAAGAGAAGCAGAGACAGAGGGGCAGGTGGAGAAAGAGGTCCAAACAGTATTGTTTCTTTATTTCATCATACTCCAGTGTATATTAATTTAAATATAAATATGTTTTTATTTGAATTTTCATCTCAGAAAGAATCTCTGTATGTTCTAGACATGAGTAGATATTTATAAACTGTATTTATAATCTAAGCCCAGACAAGCAATTTCTTTCCGTCTCTTCTGAGTTTGAACTGAAGCCATGGCGGCCAATCATCTCATGATCCTAGGCTCAGTAGAAAAGAGAGTGAGTGTCCGCCAAATCATATAGTTCATAGACCATTTGGAGCGTTTTGGAAATAACCTCCCCAAAAATACTAAGGGAGGAGTGCCAATCTCAGCTCTACATTCAGAGGGCAAGACAGTAAAAAGAAAGTGATCCATGTCTATAAAATTATACTGTAAAAACAGAGTGGTGTGCTGTACACTGAGTGGATAAGGTTTACACACATCTTTTCATATCTCTCCCTCCCTCTCTCTCTCTCTCTCTCTCTCTCTCTCTCTCTCTCTCTCTCTCTCTCTCTCTCTGTGTGTGTAGAAGAGACAGAAACTTGAATGTTGTTCCCCTGCTTGGGCAGAATGTAAAGCAATCTTCTGCTAACACTTAAAAGCGAGTTTCTACATTTCAACTTTATGCCTTTTAAAAGTTTAACGAAGGAAATGTTACCTGCAAGATGGCTCCTGCATGTTGATGGAATGTTCACACTTCCCGTGCATGCAGAAACCATTGTAATGTTCCGGGCAAGGTATGTGGTGTTCTCTGGCACTTTCTTCTAACTTGTTAGCGTTCTCTGCGAATACAGATAAAAGCAAGCGCCCCTGTAAATACCGTCTGTGCTGGGTAAGATCAACTCGTACATTAATAAGAAAAGCTACAGTCGGAAACGCGGATGAAAAAAGCGAGGACTAAAAGGTCATGCTTCAGAGGAAAGAGGGAGAGAGCATTGAAAGAAAGATGTCTTCACAATTGTGTTTAGAGATGAAACTGCAAAATTACCCGGAGCTTTTTCAGGCTTTTATGCAATTTCCTACATCTTTAACAGCCACTGACGTGGCCACGAGTTGTCAGATAGCTTTAATTCTCTTTGCATAGAGCCTGTACGTTGATCATAAAAACAATTCAAGAAGAAATTCTCGACTTTTTTTTTTCAATTTCAAAGCATAACTTCTCTGAGAGCAGATTTCTCAAATGCCTCGATACTTCTCAACATGAGGACTAAGTTAAAAGATGGCTGTGTTCAATTGTTAAATGTTTTCTAGACCAAATGCAGATTTCAACAAACACAGCCTGTCAGGCATTTTTATAATATATTGTGAGTGCAAGGGCTTTTTTTTTTCCATTTTGCACCATACATTTTTATTGCCACAATAATAAAATTGGAGATTGTTTTAGAATCGCTTGTATAGATAGTCACATTTATTTATTTCGATCCATATGGTCCTACACCTCGTTTGGGCAAAACAGTAGAGCTGGCCCTGGGGGTGGGAGTGCAGGGAAGCAGGACCCAGGGTTGTGTGAGCAGACCTGGCCCCACTCCCTACTGTCTGTGCTGGAAAGCTCACCCAGGTGTGGAGGGAAAGCTAGCGGGGTGACCAATCCAGGCTCAGAACCAGGGCTATGAGCTAGCCCAGCCCAACATCCACCGTATTTCGAACAGCTGGAGTGTGCGAAGGGACCCGACCTCAGAACCAAAGCTGCATGATCTCCATGACACACGGCAACAGTAGGCTATCCAAGAGGAGCCCCAGTGAGGGCCCAGTATCAACAGTACAGCAAAAGTCAGAGACCTGGAACCAGGTGAGACTCATCGCAATGAACTTCCAGGGAAAGACGTATGAATTAAAGAGATACTGTGTGACTCTCTGGACCACACAGCAGCTTCCACACCAAGACTTTTGTTTTGTTTGGTTTGGATTGTTTTTTTTTTTATGATTTTACTTTTAAATTTTATTTTGCGGGGAGTGGGATATTACAAGGGCAAAAGGCAGAAGCGAGGGTAAGGGGAGATGAATGGGATTGGCATGAAATCGATAAAAAGAATCGATAAAAAGTCAAAAAAAAAGAAAGAATGATTTATGAAATCTAAACTTAAGGAAAACGAAACACCATATATTCTAAAAGAAAACACTTCCGCTGTCATTAGTAGTTCTGTTTTCTAATGTTTTTTATGATAACACGTGGATGCTTTTGGGCTCCTGTTTGCTCAGATATGTTGACTACACATTCGCCACACCGTCTCCAAGCCAGTGTCTGCTGAATTTCTTCTGTGTTTCTTGTACAGTGATAGAAGGTCTGGGCTGGAGAGATGGCTCAGTGGGCAAGGATGCTTCCTGTGCAAGCGTGGGGACCTGGGTTTGGCTTACATCATTAATGTGAAAAGCTAGGTGTAGACACATGCATGCCAGCAACTCCAATGCTGTGGGAGTGGCTAGCAACAGAGGATTTGCTAGGGCTCATGGTTTCCCGTTTTGGTCTGTGTTCAGTGAGAGACTCTGGCTTAAAGGAAGGGAGTAAGGCAGACAGGGATAGATGAGGACACATGATAGTCTCTTCTGACGCGTGCGCGCGCACACACACCCACCCACACCACACGTACAGGCGCACACATAGACACAGGCACCCACAAAGGCACACACATAGACACAGGCATACACAAAGGCACACACACACACACAGAGGCACACACATGCATGCACACACAGACACACACACATACCGACACACACACACACTCACACAACGCAGTTTTGCCTTCATTGTCTCTTCTGAAATACAGTATTCTTGAAAATTTCTTTCTGGATCAATGAGAAATATAACTTTATCGATCTCAATCTACAGGTATTTTTTCAATCTATAAGTATTCCTAAGCACCATAGTAACTGGGGCAGCAGTGAGAGAAGATTGCAAGTTAATGGTTGTTTTTCATGGAATGGATTACTTCCCATTATCCGTAGACGGGGCGCCATGTTTTATTATAGCATATCTTTACAGCTTTCACTTGCAGACATGGGTGTTAAGCGTATTCATCAGGAATAGGACGAGCCTTTGCCACTCGCGAATTAGATGGATGCCTTATTTATATTTAGGAGGAGCTGCAAAACATCTTTCCATACATTTTAGGATCTAGATGCCATGTGCAGAACATTAAAGTTTGAAGCAAACTGTTAAAATGTTTAGTGTTTTCTTTTGTAGGGGTATTTATGCATACAACGTCGGTGAGTGATAATTCAACGTGTATCCTAGATTTATAAGGAATATATCGTAGCCACGGGGCAGAGAGAGCGCAGGTGACATTTCAGCACTTCATTTGTTTTGTCTGTGATATTTCAGCTACGGTGTAGTTGGTGATCTTTCGCACTGAGATGTTTCGGCACTGAAAATCGTCGCGAAAGTTCGTGAACTACTTCCATAGAAAAAACCATGAGGCTGTGGGAATCGTTTTGGCGTCTCCCATTCGCTTAAGGATTGTATACGTTTTGACTAAATTTTTTGGTAGGACACACAAGAAAATCATAGTGTGTAGTACTGAGTGCCATCTGACCAAAATGGAATCAGGGTAACCTTGGTGTTTAGATGTACCAGTGTGATGACCTGGTTATTCAAGAATCCGCGGAGAAGCCGGGCAGTGGTGGCGCACGCCTTTAGAGGCAGGCGGATCTCTGTGAGTTCGAGGCCAGCCTGGTCTACAAGAGCTGGTTCCAGGACAGGAACCAAAAAGCTATGGAGAAACCCTGTCTCGAACATCCAAAAAACAAACAAAAACAAACAAACAAACAAAAAAAGAATCCACAGAGAAGAGCAGGCTTTTTTTCCTGCTGGGTTCAGAAGGCCACAACCGGAGTAGGCAAGCCAGGCCTGCGCTCTTGACAGAGGATTTCTCAGCAGTGGGGATCGTCAGGCCCACTGCTCATGAAATGAGCCAGCACTGATTTCCATTCTTATATCTGAATCTTCTCGGCAGAGCCAACGATTCAACACTTCTATTTAGTGTTCGTTAGGAACACCCCAGTGCTTCCGGCACTCCCGCCTGTGGGGAACTTCCCCGACTGCCTCCGTTCCAATTAAACACAGCCTTTTCTGTC